CTTCAACTCCCTCATGGCTGGTTGAGGAATTCTCATGGCTCGTGGCTGGTTGAGGAATTCTGGGAGTTGAAGTCCACAGGTCTTAAAGTTGCTAAGACTTCTGAGCTAGCTGGTTGGCCCTTCTTCCTCTCTCCCTTCTGACCTCTTCCACAGTGTAGTAAGACTGCACCCCCCCAATCCCTTCCCTATACCCTTAAAGACACAGGAATCAAGTACAAAGCAAGAAAATAAACACAAACTCTGTTTTTTTTCTCTTTAAGCTGCCTCAGACGTGTCACAATGTTGCAATCCTAGACTGAAAGGCTCCGGCAATTGCGAAAAGCTTTAGCTTTAAATTAAACCTGTTTACCTTCAAAGAAAACTTTCTAAAAGCAATAGACAGACTCAATTAAAGGGGTGTGTGTAAAACTAATTACATTTGTTTAAAGGGATTAAACCTTTCCTATTGTCTTTTTTCTCCTTCCCCCACCCAAACCATGTTCTTTTATAGCCTCTCCTCTCTCCCCCCCCCTTTTCTTCAGTTCACTTCCAGCTCTGAGCTGCTTCTGGAAGCCCCAATCAGCTGGAGCCAATCAGCTAGAGCCCTGCCGGCTCCTGGGGCTTCTGCCAAGCCCAGACAGTCATGCAGCTGCCTCTCCCTCAGGCTTGGCTCGCTTAGGCTCATTCCCTCCCCTGCTATACTTGGCTAGCAGTCACATGCCACCTGCCACGTGGCAAAGTACCACAGGTGGTATGCATACCACCAGTTGAAAAGCCCTGCTCTAGGACACCTTGTCTGGCTATGCCCAGCAGTGCACAGACTGCTGCCTTCCGTTACTCCCAGGAAGGCTGTCCTTCTCCCCCGCCATTCCTGGAAGGCCTCAACCAGCTAGGCTGATGTTATGTAATGCCAGGTCCGTGGTAAATAAGGCCCCCCTCATACAAGATCTTATTTTAGAGGGGGGCGCAAACCTGGCAGGTATTACTGAGACCTGGTTGGGCGTAGAGGGTGGAATACCACTGGTGGACATCTGCCCGCCAGGTTTTCAGGCATTCCATCAGCCAAGGACCCGGGGTAGGGGCGGAGGGGTAGCGGTCATTATAAGGGAGAGCCTTTGTCCAAGGGAGACCACTGTGCCTCAGATAGACGGCGTGGAGTCGCTCTTTGTGAAGTGGGGGCAAGGGGTGCAAGTGGGCTTGTTGATTATATACCTGGCTCCCTGCTATGTATCAACAG